AATAGGGCCGGCAATGCTTGCAGCTACACAGGTCATGGGTGTCAAACTTCTTTCTCTGGTGGCGAAAGTCAACGCTGCCTTAGGCGAGGTGAAACGGGCTGAAGAGTCCTACACCAGTTGAAAAACTGGTTTGACCAAGCTTTGCTCGGTGGCCATTTCAGGCCAGAAAAAGGGGCCCTTGCTGTGCCTATTCAGGCCAGCGTACTGGCCACGTCTGACCTACCTAGTGGAGCCTAGGCTCTAGCTGGAGTTCCAGCCACTGGTGCCACCAGCTTGGTCTTTTGCTTCAGCCAAGCTTTGCTTGGTGGGGCCTGTTGTAGGCCAGAGGCCCTTTTGCTGAGCCTACCTTGAGGCCAGCACTTGACTGGGCCGTCCTAGCCTACACCAGTGTGTACTGGTAACGACTACGTCTGGTATCACCAGACGCTGGTTGCCCCACCAGCCTGGCTGACTGGACATCAGGTCAAAACCTGAGTCTGGTTTGCTTGCCCTCACCCTTTGTTTGGGATTTCGCTTTGGCTTTGGGCTTCGCTTTTGGGCCCACCAAGGACAAGTCCTCCCGAGTCCGCCTTTGTGGCCTCAAAGGACAGTTGGACCCAGGGTTCGTAGATCTAGGGGCCTCGGGCCTTGCACTTTCGCCTGCTGAATGACGTCCTTTACCCAGAGGTCTTTGCCCTGGTATCTTTGCCGGCATTCCTTGCCAAAAAGCACATAGCCTTTCCTGTGCAACCCACTGCTTAACCCCACACCTGGTACACAACCAGGCCTTGCCTCCATTCACTATTTTGTGAGTGGCATGGGCGGCCATAGCGAAACTCGGGCCCTGAAACAAACAGTGGTGATTGACCTTCCTATCGAAGGTAGTAACCGGCTCTGTTTGTTCCACATATAGCCCGCAGGTGCTACACTTGATCGTGAGCTGGTGTATGGACTGGTGCCCGACCACCCAAGTGTGCCCCAATGCAGGGCTAGCACCCTCAAGCATGGCCTCCATTTGTCGCCTTTTGTTCAGCTTGCCATCACCAGGTGGAGCCTCCTGGGTTTTTCTTTTATCCTGCTTTTTGGCCTTAATCAGCTTCGTCTGTTTGGGCCCCTTACGAGGCTTGGTCTGGGGAGGCTTGTTGCCATCGTTGGAGTCGGGATAAACAACCTGGGGCCCCTCATGCTGATCATACTGAAACATCTCAGCCGTTCTCTGCGCCAACAGGGCATTCACTCTGATGACCACCTCATCCTTGATGAGGACGCCCTGTTCCCAGGCCAAATCCCTTCTTTCATTGGCTCGGTTTTGCACCAGCCTATCAACCTCGGCATTGGCTTGCCACCTCCAGAGGGAGTCAGCTCCAAACTTGGCACTGTACTCGTCCTCAGTGAGATGGCTGTTGATCCAGGTAAGGGAGACCCGATCCATTTCAGCTCGGACCTGCTGAAACAAATCCTCCGACTTCCATCCTGGCCTGGCTGCCTCGCGGCAACTTGCGCAACCCCTTTGGCGTCCAAGGTTACTTCCATGTTGCCCTGGACTTTAGTCACCAGGTATGCAATCGCCTGTGCCTCGGGACGAAATACTGTTTGCTCACAGGTGACAGGTCCTGTAGCAGTGCCAACAACCTGGATTTGGGACCCCAGGATTCGAAAAGCCACCACACCCCAAGTGACCACTTGGAATCGTGGCTCCTGGGATCCCCCAGGGCTACCATCTGTAGCAAAGTGGAGGTCAACTCCTTCAACCTCTCGCTGCTGGAAAATGCCAGTTTCCTGAAACACCTGGGTATACCCCAGTGGCTTGTTCTGTGCTGCAGGGAGGCCTCGTAACCACAAACTAGCGTCAGGGTACTCCTTCCTGAGCCTTGGGAAGTCTTCAGGTTCTTGCTGGTTTTGGGCCCACCAGCTACAATCCCACAGCACGTGCCGCAGCGACGCCTCCTGGTTACAGCGACTACACCAGGAGCCCATGCTATGACGAATGGCCCCTTGCCACACAGCAACTAAGGCCTTTTTCTTCAGGCCTTTCAGCTGCTTGAGCGCTCTGCATGGGGCCTGCCAATCCACCCCATTTGCCAGTTGCTGTCCTGCTTCACTCTGTGAGAT